AAAGTGGGTGCACCAATGTACATCGCTGAACAAAATAAAAGTAGAAGATAGATATAACTCAAGGATCCTTCATTCCTGCTTGAGTAATTGCACTACTTAAGTTGTTATGGTCCAGACCCAAAACCTATATATGGTGACCCAAATGCAGTGACTGGACTGTGTGCATGCATGAGTGTAAGACCATAGCATTTTCTCTAATAGTCTAGGCAAGCAAAATCTACATCCATGTTTAAAGCCAAACTTTACAGGCCCATATATCATCTTAGTTTCACTAGATATATTCAGTCAACATTTCTAGGTAACACATCATACCATAGCAATCTAAGTATGACTTAATAGAATGTTCAGAGTGCATGCCACCACGAAGCTAAGGGCAGCTCCAGTGTATAATGTCTTAGCAAGGTGCAAGGCTAGCCATGACACAAGGTGCTCTACTAGTTAAACAAGCTCCAACATATAAATCTGTTAGACAGTACTAAGGTGAGCTCCGGATGTAATAAAAATATATAGTATCCTAACTTTTCTTAACATGGATGGTGGATGGAGAGAATGAGTGGTGGTGCATATTATTTTTTTAGTCTTGGCAACAGGTGCAACTATAGCACCTCACTTCTCTCTCATCATTGCACATCCTTAGCACACACATTAGAGCTGCCAAGCATACCATCCAAAATTAGCAACAGGCACTGCACCATTTAACATAGCAGAGACAATACTGGAAATCATTACATCAACAAAGCAAGGGTCTCCTGAAGATGACTCTGAAGAAAAACAAGAAACAAAGGATATAGAAGCGAAGCGGTATCAGTAACACATGCCTAGCTCAAATATAAGTCCAAGTTTCCATGAACTTAAATGGGAAGTAAATGAAAACGAAAAGTAACATAAGCATCTCTCAGCAGAAGCAGATAGCTGTTTTCCAAATAAAAATAATAATTAGCTCAATTCGTAAGTTGTTTTGACTTTTTTGGTACATCGAATTTGCTATGGAGACCAAAAAAGTCAAAGCGACTTATAATTTGGAACGGAGGGAGTATCACACAAAAAACATGATTGGAAATATACTAAAGCAATGGTCACAAGGGTGGCTCAGGGAGCTATGTGCTGATAAATATGCACAGTACGCAAGCTACATGCATGATGCAACAATGACAAACACTACTGACAGAGTTAAAGGAGGAGGAACAAATCAGTCCACAAGAAGGTCAGGTGTACCTATCTAGGATGCCTTAGTAAATTCATCATTTCAAAAATAATAATTATCCAGTCAAAAGTACCATTTTAAGATAAAATATGAAGCATAGTTGAACATTGCTACTAGCACACATTAATAAACACCGAAACAGACAAGTCCAACTGGGCCCCTTAAATACAAATATAAAGAATGCTATCATAATGAAGTTATTTTCCCCCAAAACTATCGCGCTTACAATATCCCATGTTAATTTACACCCAAAACAGCAATTTTCACAGTAATAATGATTTCGCCATGTACCCTTTTTGATGGAAAGTAACATTTCCAAACGAGACAGAAGGTATCTCTTCTTAAATTATCAGTCCTACAATAAGGATATTTCATATGATAGATACGTAAAAAGGATGCAACTGACATCATGTTGCCACGTTTTCACTATATCTGAATCACTCAAGTTTACTTTTTAGTTCAGTTATCATTACCCTTGTGAGATTAACAAAGTAAATTTAGTCAATGTAAGCTTATGGGAACTAAATTACTGAGTGCAGCAATAGCCTAACAGAATTGATGAAAGGAAGCATCGCCTAACCAGGGGATAGAAGCTACCTTGGCTAGGCTCCAGGTTGTAGCTTGCTCAGCCCGGCTTTGGTAGGGGGTCAAGAAATCAAGGAGTGAAGTAACAAAGGGGTAAGGGAATCAGGAAGGAGGCTTCAGTAGTTCAGCACATAGTACTACATCGCAACAAGGAATGCGACAAGTCATAACCCATCACTTTGGCAAGGACTATGTGTCACAAAATCAATGTAGCAAAAAATATATGCAGTGTGGTAGACAGGTATGGCGCTGCTGTCACCCCTGATGGATAGTCTCAGGTAGGGCTGTACTGCTCAATGGGCCTGTGGCTGTTTTTTCTGCTTTTAGGACAGCATCTTGGTCACCCCTGGCTCTTAGAGGACCATTGAGCATCTTAGTCATTTCTTCCTAATTAATTCTATATCTATATGCAACCCCTCAGGTTGGTGGCATTTGAGTAAGTAGACAAGAAAATTGGCCTGTCATCCTCGCTGATGATCACCCCTCAGAGACTAACAACCCCTGGCTCCTCCATTGAAGTCATTTCTTTCCTAATTAATTCTATATCTATAACAATATAAAGAACAAAGTCTTGCAAGCAGCAGAACACTGAATCAATTATGCAGAATGCTTCTCGGTGCAGACCCAAGGCAACAGTATGAAAGATTTGCTGATATATAGCAAGCAAACATTTCCAAGCAACCTGAGAAATCAGCATTCATAATTAGGAAACCCAAACTGCAAACTGCTAATATCTACACGGCAGTTTCCGCACACCACAGGTGGAATTGCCTACTTAGTGGGAGCTTTTAGTATACTGCACAAAAGTTGTCGTTTCCAATTAACAGAAACCAAAACTGTAATGGATTTATCCTAGTGGGTGTTAACGGTATCACCATGCAAAATTTGTCGTTTTCTGATTTAACTGAAACCAAAGCTGTTACGGAATTTCAGCTTGAACCTACAGTTAACCCTTGTTCAACGGAGTACGGACATATGCTCCAGAGACAACTTTCAACAGTAGCATTAAACGGAATTCTAAGTTCCTGTGCAAAATGAGAAATCAGATACTTTTCATAATTAGGAAATCTAAACCGCAAACAGCTAATATCTACGTGGCAGTTTCCGCACACCACAGGTGGAACTGCTTACATAGTCGGTGCTTTTAGTATACCAATAAAAATTTTGTCGCTTCCAGTTAATAGTAACCAAAACGGCAACGGATTTACAGCTGCAACCTACCTGATTTAATAGTAACCAAAACGGTACGCCAGCAAAAAAATTTCGATTTCTGATTTAACTGAGACCAAAGCCATTACAGAATTTCAGCTCAAACCTACAGTTAACCGACGTTCTGCAGACATAAGACAACTTTCAACAGATAGCTAAAGAATCACATAACGGAACGTTCCCCCAAGACGGACATGAAAGATTAACTGGCGGGAACAAGCTAAAACAGTCATGGGGTGCCAAATGAATCTCAGTTCCTGTGACAACCAAATATATTATACCCCATGATTTCTACGGTTCCACCTGCATGATTCCGAATCAAGCAAGTAGTAACCACACAACAAGCACCACCAAACGAGCAACAGATCAGAGAGGGGGGTCAGAGCCGGGAATCTCACCTCCGTCCCACGGCGTATCATCCGGCCTGCAAAACCAAACGAAGCCTCTCATCAGCACAACAAACACGAGTAAAACGAAAAGGAATAGCTGAGAACCCGTCTCCTTCCCCGAGATCCGGAGTCCCTCAAATCAAACCCTAGAACAGGAACGGGATTAACGGGCTCCGGGGGGGGCGAGAGGGGGGAAAGGAAACGAAACTCTGCGGGACGGATGATGAGCTACCCGAATATGACGGCGTTCCAGAGCATGATGTTGTTGTCGTGCGGCGCGCCGCTGATCCCGGCGGGCGGGTCCTGCTGCAGCCGCTTGAAGTCCCGCATCAGCCGCTTCCTCGCCGGCGTCGACATCTCGCCCTCAAACCCTAGGCTAGGGTTTCGATCTCCGGCAGAACGCACGCTGCGTCCGTCCGTCCCCCTCTGGCTGGCTCCTTGACCCCGCGAGGTTGCGTCTGAAATCAGAGATGCTTCGAGACAGACAAAGGAAAGGAAGGAAGGGGTGATGGGTGGGGGTGGTGGGTGGAGTGGGTGCGCGTGAGAAAAGTTTCACGGGTGGGAAAGAGTGGAAGCCGCAACGCCCACGCTGGCGGTGGGCCCTCCCCTCCCCGCGACCTAGCTTCGTTTCTTCGCGCGACCCAGCTCGGAGCCGCTGACGTCTGGGGCCCAGCGTATGACCCCACCAGCCGACGTACCCGGGAATACGTTTGAGCGCTGCACTGCCGTTGCCGTCCATGTCGCTGACACGACAGGTGCAGGACGCGGACCCAGGTGTCAGGGACATTCCTGATAAATTCGTTGCGATGTTTTACAACTGATGCGTGGGACCGTGGGTGGGACGTGATGCCACTGGATCCATGCGTCAGTGTCGCGGGGAGGAGAACTTGATGTAGGCGGCGACCTAATGTGGTGGGCCAGGGGTGGGTATCGAATCTGGTGGGGGTGTGGTGGCGCCGGCCTGCTTGGTGGCATCCGTGGAAAGGCAGACTGTTTCGATCGTAAATTATTTATTATTGGCTAGTTTAATATGAGAAAAAAATACTGTTCGTTTAAGATCAATCGAACATACTCCCTCCGTCCCGTTAAGATTGTCGCTCGGGAAGCGGGATTGTGAGAATTTACGGTTTTCCAACGACAAACTCAATGGGACGGAGGGAGTAAAAAGCGGCAGCGCGTACGTACGTGAGCAAAAGAGCTGCTCGGTCGCCCGTACTCTTTCGCTGGCCACGCCCACAGGAGATCCATGGCCGGCCCGGCCTAGTCGCCTAGTACTAGTAGATTGATTCGCACCATTTTTCGCCCGAATTGAGGTGTCAACAAAATTACACTACCGTAACACTGGTGAACATCTACGACCCGCCATTAACAAATTTACATGTCAACAAATACTATTATATATCACATTGACAAATGACAATTCCGAATTCTTGCGAACAGAAATGTAAAATCCATATGCTTGCCAACAAAACACGAAAACATTCACCACCACCTTTCCAGCACAATAACTCCATCTGAGAACCACCTCAACAGAAATGTAAAATCCATGTACATACCAACAGACAAAAAAATTGTCACCACCGTCTTTGCAGCATAATGACTACATCTAAGAATCACTTCCTGCTGGCCTGCTGCACACGCCAGTTGCAGGGCTGTCTACAACATCGATTCAGTAACTGATCATGAACAAACAGTCAACTAGTTACAAACAACATTGGCAGGTATAAGATGTAAGGAGCATGATGAGATACAGCTAGTTACAGCTCCTTTAAAATTGTTTTTCTCCACATACAGACGAATTGCCATCGTCATTTACAGAGCAAGAGCTGGCTAACCATGTCAGTTCTGGGTTGGCCTCAGGTTCTTTGCCTAACCCTGCGGACACTGGAATCACCACCATCCGAGAGCTGCCCACAAACGCTCTGGCTCTTCCCAACGCTGCTGCACTGGTCCTCACACCCTGCAACAGTTTTCAGTATCTCTGACTGGAGAGATGGGCAGTTGTCCTTGAGGTAAATGAAACCGTCAGTCCGCATTACAGCTGCAGAGACATAAGGGTATCTGGAATGGGTTATGGAGCTTTATAAACTTAATTGAACCAGGAGCTGTGCAAACATAATTGTGCAAATAATAAAGCAACCAAAAGATCAAACAATGGTATGTGGACTGGAGGCATAATTTTCTTGTATTCAGGGGCAAACCCTGGAACTACCCAATGCTGAAACGGAAAAGTTGGCAATAACAGAATCTCAAGCCCTGACAAAAGTTTTTTTTAAAAAGGATACTTGTCCACCAACCCATACCTTCTTCGTTATGAAACACATCATAACTATTATAATCTAGCAAGCCATATTAGTCCATCTCAAATCTGAACCTGCTAATGACAATATGTTGCAGTCCACAGTCTATCTAATTCAGTTAGGGTCTTGGTTGCCTGCATTAGAGCATATCCAGGCTTTGATAGTGCAGGTCAGCAGTGTTTGGTTGCCCGCACTAGACGTTATGCAGGCTTAGGCCTTAGAGAAGCAAAAGAAGGGTTCATGGCTGCATTGTGTAGTAATATGCAAAAATGGAACGTGTCACAACCACGCCACCGCCGCCAATGGATGTCGCCCACCGCCATGACCCATGCCCTTCTCCCTGCTCTCCTACGACACCATGACCACACCGCGCCACCAACACCACTGCCAAGGGGCATCCCCACCACACAACCCCATGCCCTTCTCCCTGCTCTCCTCCGACACTGCCCTCACCGCGTACTTCGGACCTGTTTGGTGATGAATGCCTGTCTCCTAACTTGCCTGGCAGGCTATAAACAAAATAGTTCCTTCCCACCTGGGCTTGAAGACGTTGGTGGATGCGCTGGACCTGTCCTTACCTTCACCTTCACCACCACCACCATCAGTGCACGGATCTTGCTGTCGCTCCCCTCCTTATCCTCCACCATGCTGATAAGATCAGTGATCCTACCGCGGCTGCGTAAAGCGTAGGGGTAGGAGATCGGTGGCTGCGGTCGATTCCCCCAGCGGCAAGCAGGAGCTGTGGTGGTGCGGGCACAAGGCGGCGGCACAGCAACGAGCGAACAAGAGAGAGGCGCATAGGGAAGGCCCTTGAGGCCAGGCAAAGATAATTGCCTTGCTTAATTCATTCCAAAGCTGTTTAGGGGTATTTATCCCTCTCCTAACAAACCGATCAATTAAGATCCTATAATTATGGAAAGAAGCAAAATATCTAGGGAGATCAAATCCTCAGCGCCTAGCGAATGGGCCTGTGGTCCAGTGGTAGGGCTGTCCAGTGGGACGCTACCCACAAGAGTTCAAATCCTGGTGTTGCATCTTTTTCTGGAATTTTTTCCAGAAATTTTAGGGTACACGCACGGGCGTTCGGTGGTAGTGCGCGTTTCCCGCGTCCTGGAGGCTCCCAATCTCCTCTTTGCGTCAGTACTGGCGCGCACGCGTGTGTGTGCGTGTGGGTTGTATGCGTCCAAGGCGTACCCGATCAAAACAAAATCCTGGTTGCCTAGCCCCTAACCGTCGGCGTGGCCTAGCCACTGGGTTGGACCTGGAGTTGGTACCATAGTCACAGGGTTCGGGGTCAAAGTCGCGAACCACGTACCAGGTACGCCGACCCAAATCCAGATATGGGGACGAGATGGATCCACATCCCATTTTTGGAAGGGTCGCACACCCATTGCAGCAGGGGTTCAAGAAGGGATGAGTCCCAATCCTAGATGGGTCGCAGCACCCATTGCCGCATGGTTCGAAGACGGCGAGATGCAGATGAAGAAAGACTTATGGATTGGGCTGTCGCCAAATCGCCACTCTCCGGCGTCGCCGCTGGCCTGGCCATGGCATCACTGGCATCTCAGTCGACGGTCAGGACGGAAGCAGGATCGAATCGGGGCCAGGGAGCTCGCTGGACGGCCGCCGCACCGGCATCTCTGTCAACAGTCAGGACATAGGCGGCATCAAATCGAGACCAGGGCGCTCGCCGGACGTCCGCTGCACCTCATCGCTGTGAATGGCGGACAGGGAATCCCGTCGAGGGCTCAAGCCGTTGTCACATTGACATCGCCTCCCGATTCCAGTCCCCTCCGCCATGAGCACAGCATAGGCCCGCAGCATGTTCTTCTCTTCTGGATTTTGCAACGACGGTCTAAGTAGACCTCTAATTTTTATTTGTTTTCTAACGAGACTGTACAGGTTACACGCTGTATTTTAGTTTTTGGAAAAAATGTGTCGCATGTGGCGAGAGATTTCCACCCGTAAAAAATTCCTATGTGATTTGTTTCCTAATGTGTAGTCACAAAAATGGAAAAAAGAATTGGTTCCAATATGCGGCCCTCGACTCCAGACTTCATACCGGGGTCATAGACCCAAAACCACTAGAGTCGTGACCCACAACTCCATGCTCCGTACCAGGGACATCGAACCATAACCTTTAGATTCACATACCAAATGTTTGGTTCTCGTTCCGCAGAGGTATACCCCCCTTGTACCACAATTTTTTTCAATTATCAACCCACGTCCCTCGACCCCGTCCCTCGACTCGATCGACCCAGAATTCTTGTGGCTATGGTTGGTACGTGATGCGGAGGGTGCAGCAGTGGCAGGCGCAATGGACAGTGCGGTCGTGGTTGTGGTTGGTGCAGCGGCGGCAGAGGGAAAAGCCGTGGTGCCGTACCCCGACAACCCATAGGGAAACCCTGGGGGCATGGCACTGGCCGAGGAAGGCGCCTGCTGGCTGTCCACGGTCATCAGGCGGGTGGAGAGATTGGTAGCTGCTGGAAGATGTTGGCGAGGGCCTTTGCAGTGGCCTCCGCGGCCGGTGGCGAAACCGATGGTTGTTCCTTGTCGTCGTCACCCGGCATCTCCAATACCAAATTGATAAGATCAAGGATCCTACCGCGGCTGCGTAAGGCGTAGGGGTAGGAGATCGCTGGCCGGGGTCGATTCGCCCGGCGGCGAGAAGGGTGCGGGAGCAAGGCTGCTGCACAGCAGCGAGCGAATGAGAGAGACGTGCGTAGGGAAGGCCCTTGAGGCCAGGCAAAGGTAATTGCCTTGCTTAATTCATTCCAATACTGTCTAGGGGTATTTATCCCTCTCCTAACAAACCGATCAATCAATCAAGATCCTATAATTATGGAAAGAAGCAAAATATCTAGGGAGATCAAATCCTGTGCGCCTTAGCCCCTATCCGCCGGCGTGGCCTAGCAACTGGGTCGGACCCGGTGTTGGTACATGACGTTGGTCATAACACACGCTCTCCCCGAGCCCCCCGAGCCCACAGTCCTCTGCGTCCCCGCGTTGGGCGCACCGCACACCTCAAGACGGCACGTGCCGCCACGCTTAACAGCATCCTCAACCTTGTGCACCTCCACCTCATCCACGAGCTCCGGCCCAAATGCGGCTCCGGCTCTCCTCGCTCCTCCATCTCAGGCGGTCCAAGCAATGCCAAAAAGAGGCAGACAGGAGTGGGGAGGAAGAAGATGGAGGTGACATTTAACTCTTACCAAAAGGGTGGGAAGGTGATCACATACAATACAAGCAACCAAACACCATCCCATTGCATATGTTTATGCTGCCTTAGCCTAGACTGCATTATGCTCACAACTGAGGCTGCTAATGTACTACGTGCAGAATAAGTAGAGAACCCATGACCCATGTATTGCTATCAGAAGACGCTAACACATAACTGCATCTGCACGCTACCTACCAAATTGTTGATAGCTTAAAATCTTAGTAAAAAAATGCCAACACAGTCTAGGTCGTTAATAACTATTGCACCAATATGGCACTCAGGTGACATATACAGCTGATTATATGAATGCCTAGCAAACTGTAACCATGTAGGTGCCTCAAGCAAACTGTATTTAAAAAGCATCTGTAATAGTCTAATGCATATTTTCACGAGAAGTAAAGCCAAAAAGTTTAACTGGCCAAGTTCAAGAGAATTTTCTGTGACAGAATAATGACCAAAAGAAAGAACACGCAGTGCATGGCCATACACTCATACATTACAAAATATTTTTCAACTGACAAGAGTTCTCGGAGCAAATAATGGGGCCACTTGGATGAAATAATCATAAGCAATATCTGGTATGATAAGTTTAAGTACCTGAAAGATTTTCTGCAGAAAATTTTAGGCAAACAGCTTTAAGCTCCATGGCTCGGTGCCTATCAGCCAATGCTAGCGTACTCGCAACTGAGGCCACTGATATGCCCTTGCACAGGTAAGACTCACATAGCAATCTTAGCCTTGGTAAGTGATACTTGTCAGCTGCAGCCAACAGCTTAGCTGCCAGAGTATCGAAGATAGAACCATCAGAGCTTGACGCACCCAACTCATTATCATCAACAAGGGTATCTCTATAGATGAAGTGAAGCACTGCCTGCAACAAATATTCACCAAATACTTTCTAGACACTGTTTTAATAGAAGGATAAACACAATACAAGAACAGCAACAGACCTTGAAAACCTTTGGCTCCATATCATCAATAGAGAACTCTTTTAGTTCATCAGTCTCATTAACCTCACTCTTCTCTCCATCAGATTCATCATCAAAAAATTGAGATTTGAATAGATGAGACCGTGCAGCCAATACCAACTTATGGGCATGAAACCTCTCTCCTCCCACATTAAGAATGACATCAACACCCTCCTGACTGTCCAACAGTGAACCAAAATCATAGCCGATGTCTGAGTCTGGAACATGGATAGAGTGTGGTCTGGAGTAATCAATAGTTGACACAACAACTCCCACAGTGCAATTTATCTTCAGACAATCGTCTTTGAGAAAGTCTGATGCTTCAAGGGCAGTTCGCCGAAAGAATCGCTTGTAACCCCTGAAACAAAGAAGGATAGACGAAAATTCAATTATCTGAGGCCAGTTAGATGTCCTTATTTTATGGAATGGCATACTATTGCAAGAGCAATGATTCCCACAATACAGGTTCCACATGTAAAGAAACATTAAGAAAGCTTCATCCATCTCTCAATTTACATAATAAATGCATCAAAGAGGGTTTCATTTCTGTGATTAGACTGGTTCCACAAACAATACACATCCAAAATAAATGGGCTGATTAAAAAAAACTGCTGTTTACATTGAATAAAATCATTCAGTGCGCCCATGTAATGAGATGGTTGTATAACAAACAATACAAAATTCAAATTGTACAAATTAACATAGAATCACTTGTCCTAATAACAGGTTTGCCTACCAACAAACATAACAGAAAGCAACAAAAATAGAATGAACAAACAAACAAAACTTATCAAATCCAGGGATCGAAAAAAACAAATGTATCTAATGCCATATTTCTATCACATGCATACCAGAATCCCCCCATATTCAACCACAAACAAGTTAGGATTGTATCTGCTTCCAGGCAAGATTCAAGACTTGATTCACTGATCGAGAAGGACCACAAAATCAAAGAACTCAACTTATTCAAACAGGAACCAGAAGAAATGTTAGTATGCTTTAGCACAAAGGCACTAAAAAGTTACAGAACCAGTTCACCATTACACAATTACACTGCAAAAATTGACAAACAATAAAAACTGAAAACATACATTCAACAGCAGCACTAACATGCCAGAGTGCTTGACTAACAAAAATCAAACTGCATGAGGCAATCAGGGAGATGTGCACTTTCATCAAGGACTCAATAACCCCATAACACGTATATACAATCTAATTTCAACAGTGGAAATTGGAACTTGTCAGTGCACAAGTATAGTTAACAATGAAGCATACAAAAGAATTCTTGGATGAGAACAAATTGCAACAGAAAATTCATAACCACACACATATGAAAATGGATAAACAATTAGAACATAACCACACACATCAATTAATGGGGAATTCATATGACTACCTGAACACCAAGATGAAAACCACCAAATAGACCCTTAATAAGCACACTAAACTCTCAAGTCATATCCACAGTTTCACAGCCACAAACATCAGCATGAAGTCCAACAAGATCATTGGCGTACATTTTGCAACTCAGGCACACACACAAGCCAATTCAGCACCTCACAACCATTCAAACTGAAACTGATCCAAGAAAAACGATTAGTAGAAAATATCAACAATTCCAGTCATAACAGCACTAAACCCATGTTAACACAACAACATGAACCATAACTATGGCTATAATTCCACTACAGAATAAACACCTGTGCATGGTTTTTGAGGCGTTGTGGCGAGGCACGGCGCCCTACCCCCTTCACAACGCCTAGGCGTTTATGGTGGACGCTTAGGCGACGCCATATGCACATTTTAGGCGCCATGAAGGTGTTGTGTAAGCTAGAATTGTAGATACTAGTGCAGCACATACAGACCTTGTTTATTCCTAGTGCTAGAGACCAGCACATACTAGCACAGCTAAGGGAGTACTACTAATCAGTAAGTATTATACTAATCAAAGGAAAACTTCTACTTTGTGTTCTGTAAAAGTGTACAGATAAAGAAAGACCCCAAACAGATATTATACTAATCAAAGAAAGATCCTTATGCTTTGCGTTATGTAATGCTCAAAGAAAATAACAACCAAAGCACAAGCAGGCATTAGTCTACTCCGTTCATGAGTATGTGACAGGCCAATAATAAAATATACTCCCTCCGTTCCAAATTATATGTCGCTTTGACTTTTTTGGTACATCCATTTTGCTATGCATCTAGATATAGATGCATAGCAAAATGAATGAACCATTAAAGTCAAAACGACTCGTAATTTAAAACAGAAGGAGTAGAAAGCAGCACACAGTACTGAAAGCAGGGTAGATGCACCACCAGTCCATCAATGAGCAAAGCCAGAGCAAACAAATATGAAAAGCGGCAGACAGATGGGAGATTTGGTGAGACAAAACACAAGAGGAGGCAGGGGACAGAGTTGAAGCGGACGGACAAGTGCGGTGCGGATGGACCTGCGGACGGCGACTCGAAGCGGATGGACAGGTGAGGTGCCGATGGACCTGCGGACAGCGACGGCGATTCGAAGCCAAGAGGCAGGGAGCGTACTAGGCCCAGGTTCGGCCGGTCGACAGAGACGGGCGAGCAGGTGCGGACCGCTGGTGGACTTGCGCAGCCAGGCGGAGATGCAGGGGCGGCCTCGTGGGAATTGCGGGCAGCCGCTGGACTCGAGCAGACGAGCAGCAAGCAGAGATGCAGGGCCGCCGCTGCCGCAGCCAAGAGTTCCTGCCCTCAGGCCATCTCTTTTCCTCTCCCTCTCTCTCCGTGAAGCTGCCCACACCCGCGGTAAATGCCGCCAAGCGGGGAATTTCCCGCGCAAGAGCATATATGAGGTCACTTTCCGCCGCGGGTCTTCTGGCTCGGACGCCCGCTCAATTTCCCACCCACCCGTGGTCGATTTCCCATCCATTCCCTGCAGACTCGCATCCGGCATCCGCTGCGGTGCTGTAGGCGTCCGCCCAACGCCATTTGCGCCTAGGCGACGCCTGATCCTATGAGGCGGACGCCATACACGCAGAGGTCGTGGCGACCCCGACACCCAGCACCTCTACCACACCTTGTCGTCTAGGCGACGCCTCATAAACCATGCACCTGTGGATGCTAAATCGGCAAAACAGGAGCACTCTCGTACTAGTAAGTAATAGCAAATCTAACACAACCGAACCAACCGCAATTGAGTAATATACTAGGCTATTAATTCTATTGCAGAATAAACGTCTCATACTTATAACGAACCAAACACAAAAAAATAAGTAGTAGGCAAAATGGGACAGGAGGATCTGCACAGAACTTACCAAGCAAAATGGGACAAAAAATATCAAATCCAGGGACCTCAAAAAACAAATGCATCTAATGCCAGATTTCTATCACATGCATACCAGCACCCCCCCCAAATTCAACCACAAACAAGGAAGGATTGTAACTGCTTCCAGGCAAGATTCAAGATTTGATTCACTGATCGAGACCACAAAATCAAACAACTGAACTTATTCAAACAGGAACCAGAAGAATGTCAGTATGCTTTAGCACAAAGGCACTAAAAAGTTACAGAACCAGTTCACCATTACACAATTACACTGCAAAAATTGACAAACAAACAATAGAAACTGAAAACATACATTCAACAGCAGCATTAACATGCTGGAGTGTTGGACTAACAAAAATCAAACTGCATGAGGCAACCAGGGATATGTGCACTTTCATCAAGGACTCAATAATCCCATAACACATATATATAATCTTATTTCAACAATGGGAAACTGGAATCTGTCAGTGCACAAGTATAGTTAACAATGAAACATACAAAAGAATTCTTGGATGAGAACAAATTGCAACTGAAAATTATCAAAATGGATAAACAAACACAACATAGCCACACACACCAATTAATGGGGAATTCATATGACTACCTGAACACCAAGATGAAAACCACCAAATAGACCCTAAAGTACACTAAACTCTCCAAGGAGTCGTATCCAAAGTTTCACAGCCACAAGCATCAACATGAAGTCCAACAAGATCATTGTAGTACATTTTGCAACTTAGGTACACACAAGCCAATTCAGCACCTCGCAACCATTCAAATCGAAACTGATCCAAAGAGCAATGTACTATTAAAAGTAAAGAACAACGATTAGTAGAAAATATCAACAATTCCAGTCATAATAGCACTAAACCCATGTTAACACAACAACATGAACCCTAATTGAATACCGAATGGCTATAATTCCACTACAGAATAAACCTCTGTGGATGCTAAATCAGCACAACAGGAGCACTCTCATACTAGTAAGTAGTAGCAAACCTACCACAACCACACCACGCCAACCGTAATGGCATAATACTAGGCTATAATTCTACTGCAGAATAAACATTTATGGATGAGAAATCGTCTCAGCAGGTACAGTCTCATACTTATAACGAACCTAACACAACCAAATAAGGAACTGGCAAAAATACATTTATGGATGATAAATCGTCTCAGCAGGAACAGTCTCGTACTTACAACGAACCTAACACAACCAAATAAGGAACAGGCAAAAATGGGACAGGAGGATCTGCACAGAATTTACCACATGGATCCGCGGTACTTGAGGGTGTACGGCCCGGACTCCAGGGAGCGGTCGAAGTGGGAGTGGACCTTGTGCTTGCCCTTGCCGCTCTGGTCAAGGAGCGTGAGCTCGAAGAGGGCGCGGACGTCGGTGCCATCGGAGGCGAGGGCGATGAAGACGGAGACGTAGACGGAGTTGTCCTCGGGGTTCTTCCCGTCGGGGTAGAAGTAGACCGCCCACTGGTACCCGCCCACGGTGAAGGTCTCGCTGGCGATGTGCTTCCCCACGCCCATGCCCTTGGCGAGCGAGTAGCCCTGGATCACGAACCGGTGGGAGCCGTTCACCGTCTCCGTCACGGAGCGCGAGCTGGTGGGGGACGCCGCCATGTCCCGCTGCGAGGGGGCGGCGGCGGCGGCGGTGGGATGCTGAGGAGGAGGGGGCGCCTGAGCCAGTGGCACCGGCGGCGGCGAGGCGCCGCCGGCGTCCTCGTCCATGGGAGGCGCGCGGGCTAGGGTTAGGGTTCGCCGCGGGGGAACCGGGGGAAGGCGCGGGGATGGGGAAATTCGGGCTCCGCTGCTTTGTTGCTAACTTGCTGCCGTGGTGGCCGACTGGCGTGCCCATTTTTTTGTTTTTTTATTAACGATGCACCGTGCCTCTGAGTTGTGAATTGTGATGACGACGCTGCCGTGGAGTGTGGACTGTGACTCTGAGCCCGTGGCGGTGTGGCCTGTGGAAGGCGAAGGAAGCCCTTGTTTAATTCCACCCAGCTTCCAAAAAAAAAAAAAAATCGCATCGCATACACAATGGATACGAAATTAAATGTAGATGAAAAAAAAGCTAATTGCACAGTTTAGTAGAAAATTACGAGACAAACGTTTTAAGCCTAATTAGTCCATGTTTGAATACTATTTATCAAATAAAAATAAACATACTAAACCCAAAATCCAAATTCCTACAACTAATCACAGCCTAATCGCCTAATCGCGGACTCGACGGCGTTCCACAACATATAAAAAAAAACCGGTTTGGTGGAACCTGTGGCTCAATCGGGTTAACGAAAAATCCTGGTAAGCAAGATATATTGCCTCGGCCTTCTTAAAAAAAAGCAATATATGCCTCGGGCCCCACCCGCCAGCCATAAACAAGCACACTGAGTCCGGCGGTCCGCTTCTCGTTCCCCAATTCGAACCAGAAAAAGAAAGATAATAATATGGAAGGCGGCCGGCTCATCGGCGGCGAAGGGAAGAAGGCGGCGGCAATGGCGAAGGTGGTCCGGCCAAAGCCCAATCTTGCGGACCACGTATTCAAATTCTGCATGGTAATCCATCACTCCCCCTCCTATACGAGTATAGGCTAGGATCTGTTGCCGTGTATAGTCCGCCGGCGTCGATTTGCGCCGCTTCCCTCCGGATCTCCTTCGTGGTCCCTCTCGCCTCGGTGAGGGTTTGACGCTGTTCACTGGATGGGAGAAGATCAGAGCAAGCGTGGCGGCGGTTGGGCTGGTTGAGAGGTCGGCGAGGGTAGCACGGTTGATCACAGATCTGAAATTTCAGGTCTTCCTCTCCTGTCTCCTCCTTCTCGTTCCTCTCCCATTTGATTCTCCCTCCTTTTAGCACTCCTAGCGGCAAGCGAGTTTTGAGACACTGTAAATAAGTGAATTGGCTTGTTCCAAATGCAATTGTAGTAATACACAGATCGACTGTAACGCACACCATTCGACTGTTGAATGTACAACTTCTGCACAAAATCGATCCTTCTTTTTTAAGCTAGTACCATCCTAGCATTCCTAGCACCATTTTTAAAAAACACTGTTAATTAGGGAATTATAGTTTTTTTTCAGGATCTGTATCAAGTCAATACTACATTCAAATGATGAAGTCAAAGTAAAATTTGCCATTCCACTGTACCTTTTTGCACAAAGTTAATATTTTCTCTTTTATGTTTGCACCAAATTCTTGGTAGTAGATTGCTATGTTTTTTTATTACACAGTTCTTGCTGGGTGCTAACTTTGTTTTGATTCCTTATCTTCTGCAGAAAAGCTCTGTTGTCCTTGGGAGCTGTTATTTTGTTGTGCTGGCTTATATTGCAATCTCAAATCCACAGTTGGAGAAGCTGTGCTTGCTGCCGTTTTTTGGTGTTGCTGTTGCCGCTCCATTGTATGCAGCAGCTTTACTGAAAGAGTGTGATCGTTAGAAGTAAGTTATCTCTTGAAAAAATGCGTATATAGGAAAAGTTCATTATCTCTTTCAGAGAATTCTATCTATTACTGTAAAACCAAACTCTAGCAATTCCATGTGTTGCTATTCAAATAGGCTACAAGTCATATTTCAGTGTCAGAAAATCCCAACAAAATTATTGTATTTGACTAATTTATCTGAGCTTCTAATTGTTCTTGTGGAGATTTAAAATTCGTTTCTCCTTTTTGCCTGATAGCCAAAAGAAATTTTGCACCTTATGTCCATATGCTAAGTTGGAATAATATCATCTACTAAAGGCTTTTAGTTGGTCCCAATAGAAAAGGAACCATAATTTTTTAAAATTATATTTAGGAAACTGAAACATGTTTTATGTCAGTTTGGTGCTTGATTTATTCTACTGTTAAGATGTGTTCATGAATGCAATTTGTTACATATATTTGTCCATAGATATAAAGGAGTGCACCACCATTTTATCCAAGCAGAAACCTTACCAATTGCATTGCTTGGTGCCTTGGTGTTTTGATTTCTGGATCACACATTTCAACTTCGCTACTCAAAGTACAAGCTAGAATTTAACTACAGCTTTGGCAGCTAAAAAGAATGCAATGACCATGGCACAATTAAACCTGGAAGCTTAATGTTTTAATGTAGATAAATTGACGTTTACTGGCATTGTGTTCCAAACTCTTTTTACAAGAATCTGGTTGTTTCCAACTTTCGATCTAGTTCCTGGTTAGACTCACCTAGTCATCCAAAACTAGGTTCTGTCAGCCTGTCCTGGCATCTCCAAGCTGATCCTGCTGATCAGAACTTGTGTTCCGTTGTAAAGAAGTGGTTGGTACAGCAAGAAGGAAAACTTGTTTCATGATGTACTTCCTGCTGAGTAGTTTTTATCTAGTTTTGGATGTTTTAGTAACTTGGTTTTAAGGAAAGAATTAACTTATCGACTCTTCTATAGAACTGTAGTGGGTAATTGCATGAAATAAAAAATTTCCAATTGGTTCTACAAGCTGTAGCTAATGAGGGTGTTCATCGGTGCATGTCTGGAGCCTTGCTCTTAAGGGCAGCTCCATTGATGAGTTTAAGCAGTGAAAAACAAGGCGCGATTCCGCGCTCGCCTAGGCGCGACTAGGCGCTGGGCGGAGGCCTCCCGCGGGGCCTAGGGGGTGAGGCGGCATCTAGGCGGTGGGCGCGCGCGTTTGCGGAGGAGGCGGCGCCTGGGCAGGATGCGCGCGCGTTTTGGCGGGCAGGAGAGCGCGCGCGCGAGCGGGCGGCTGCGCGGGAAAGAAAGCGGCGGTGCGGGAAGGATTGATTCGCCGGCCACGGTACGTCTCCGACCGATTCGTCGTGCGCGAAGCTTGTACTTGACGCCATGGACCCGTTTTCCGCATCACCGGCCATCTTCTCCCTCCGTGCAGGCCTCCTCGAGCCGCCTCCGTCCGCCGGCCCGCCGCCGCCCCTGGAGCTCCCGTGCGCCCCCTCCTCGCCGGGCCGCCACTGCTGGTGAGCTCCACGCCTCACCTGCCTCGCTGCCCCCTCGCCCCGCCTCTCGGGAACCCCAAGGTGAGGTCCGCCCGCCCCCTGCTCCTCTCTCCTCTGCTCGGCTGCTCCTTTCTATCTTCCTACTCTGTACGCCTAGAAAACGCCTAGGCGCGCCTAGGCGCTAGGCGATGGGTCACCGCCTAGCGCCTAAAAAAACATTGAGTTTAAGACAGTGCTAGCAGGGAAGAGAAAAGGATACAGAGGTGAAATACGTTAGAGTAGGTGGTGCCAAGCTAGAAATCACTAGCACCGGAGCTAAATTAGGCACTAGAGCTAAGAAATAAAAACCTATTTTTTGTCTCTTCACTCCACCTGCCACACCCTCTTGCATGTTGAGACGAGATGCCAAAATAACTACAAGGTAATTTCTTTATTGATGCGTGGATCTTCGTATATGGTGCTAAACATTAGAGGAGAACAAGAAAATGGTTAACCTTTTGCACCTCTACATGAAACAAACATTAAAGTTTCCCTAAGAAGATGCTTCTTCAGCTAAGCACAGAGATATGAGTGCTGTTTTAGTGTGCTGTGGTGTGAGCGTTGGGTTCGGGAGTATCTCTCCCTTGTACTAGGAGTAAGCTCTTGTCTCTCGTATGTATTATTTCTCTTATTCTTAATGCAATGATTTGTAGCTCTCCTGCTAAGAAAAAAAAAATTTGCATGAAATAAATATCATGCAAAATTAAGTCACTCCAGAACTGAACATTTTTGTTTCAAATTTGATTTTTTCGTATGTTTTCTGTTATGTTTGCTCTTGAATATCTATCAGATTTAAGAGAGTTGCGGCAAGGAACATATATATGATATACTTTATTAGTTCCAGAAGTTCCTTAAATGTGTGCATGTTCATCATTTGCCTTTATGGTGATTAGAATCTAAACTTCTTATTGCATATTTATTTGTTTATCAAAATTTAGTGTTCATTTTTTTAATCTATTTTAGTTTTTCCGATAGGATAAGAATTTGTATTTGTTGGGCATAATGTTTGTTTGGAGCTACAAAAGATTCCCTATGCTTTTCTAACTCATATATATGATCTTTGCCTCTGCGCTGGATCTTGCCTCTGTTTTGCAATCTCTTACCTGGTTATTTAGCCTTTGCGTAATTGTGAGCTGAACACGTGGATTCTGTCATCTGCAGGTCAAGAGGATGCGGATGCCATGCTGTGCTACCCCCAATGTTGGCCTTCTCTGAACTTTTGTGTATTTATGTCTTGGTGCCCTAGCTAAGGGCACAAGGCTTTTGTTTATGTAATCCCCTTGTGTATATCCTGTGTTAACCTATTTATGCCCTGATTAATCATAATAGTGGTAATGGGCTTCAATAGCTTCGGTAGTAGAGTTAACTTGGCAGTTGTACACAAGTTATTGGTATGTCGTCTATTTTACTTTTCAGAAAAAAAAAAATGCTGTCACTTCCAAGTTTTAGGTTGGGGGTGTTGCAATATTATTATCCGTGTTTTCAGCAATTTCACATCATTTGAGTATAATAATCTTGTTTTTGAGTTCTTGACGTGTTCAATAGTGAAAATTAGGCTATGCTCCAATGAAGAGATGGTTGTGCCACTGGCGTGTGGGAGCACTAGACATTCCAAGACATTTGATTTCGGTCGTTGCCTAGGGCTGAGATTGTTGCCTTGCTACCGAGCTGCCAGGACACCATCTAAACAGCCCCTATCTGACACAGCGATTGCAACAACACTGTTGAGTACCTTCGCACGGCGCCAAAATAGTTTGAACATGGCTTTGTTTGCTGGTCTGGACGGGTTCATGACAGCCAGCGATCGTAAATTTTCGGGCGAGAGCCTCACTCACACCAAGCATCGCGAAATAAATAATCCATCAAATCAGTTGAACAATATATTTTCTGGTCCCCTCACGCAAATTAAATCACCGAACAATCTTTTTTCTCACAACAAAGTTTTTTTCGTACCAAGTTTTAAACCAGCGAACGGGGCCAAATTGGGTGACAGAGGAAGTCAGCAAAGCAGGAATAGGCTTATCTGACACAGCTACTATAACAACACCATTGAGGCAGAAAATAAATTGGATGAGCCAGCCAAAAAAAAAAAAAGATTTATGGCTTCATTGCCTCCTGCTCCATTGAAGCGGTGAAACCACAGTCGGCAAAAACTCCACCAAACATGTCCTGACGTGGACCTTTGAAACCTCACTGTTTTGCTTACGTTTTCACCTCTTCTCCAGCAGCATGTAGATGAAGGCAGTTGCAACGTGCTGATATGACAAGTTATATCGTGTGTTTTAAGAAGCTGAATTTGTATATTACAAACAAAAATCATAAATCTATCTGGACACGGAGTAAAAAAAGCATAAGATGTATATATATTTGTGTTATACATTTGTCCATGTATATCGTTATAACTAACCAAACCCCAAAGCTATGTCCGCTTCAAAATTCCGTTCTCAACGACCCAGTGAGCCAGAGTATCTGAAAATGAAAAAATGACTAGTGGAAACCTACTTCTTTGTAGAAACATGGAAAGTCATCTAAAACATATTTCAATCACTTGAGGAAAAAAATACTATACCTTGAACATTCACAAGTGAGACATCCACAACAAGTGAAAAATACTGAACCTTTGAATATCCGCAAGTGATATGTTGTCTTATCCACAACAAAATTGAGTTTAACTTCTTTCTCACTCAATCAGAAATCAACCCGTACGGTAGTACCGGTTGCTGCGCAACCCCAAGTAGATCAAACTAAGAGAAGCTAAACCACCTAACACACCTACTGAGACAATGAACCCCTACTTCTTTGTAGAAACATGGAAAGTCATCTAAAACATATTTCAATCACTTGAGAGAAAAAATACTATACCTTGAACATTCACAAGTGAGACATCCACAGCAAGTGAAAAATACTGAACCTTTGAATATCCGCAAGTGATATGTTGTCTTATCCACAACAAAATTGAGTTTAACTTCTTTCTCACTCAATCAGAAATCAACCTGTACGGTAGTACCGGTTGCTGCGCAACCACAAGTAGATCAAACTAAGAGAAGCTAAACCACCTAACACACCTACTGAGACAATGAACCCCTCCCCTGATAACAGGGTGCACAAAACAACAGTCAAAAGTACAATAAGAGTAGTAAATGAGGCAAATGTCACATGCCGACTCACTGTTTCTGGGCTCATAGACCTAAACGGAACCGCAACAATCCCAACCATAAGCATAAAGATCAGAAGAACGAGACCGCCGTAAAGAACCGAAACAACTGTGTCACTCAAAGAGGTAAAACGTGGATATACCCCCGCTGCAAGAGCCAGTGATGCGCCTAGAACAGGGGGAAGCCGGGCAGCCCATTGATTGACCTACAGAAAAATCATGCAAAGGCCATGTAAGATAGATGTGACTGAATATATTATATATCTCATAAATGAATCACTGACTTTTACACTAGTCCCTCCTTCCCAAAAGAATGCAATTCTCTCATTTTAAGAAACCAAATGCTTTCAAGTTTGACCAAATTTATACAAAACATACTAACATTTATGATACAAAATAAATATCATTCGAGTAAGGAATATACTTTCGTAATAAACTAACTTGGAAACTTAGTTAATACTATTCACCGTAAACTTGGTCAAATTTGGATACCTCTAATAGGCACAAATATCATAGTTGTATTTTTTTCGGAGTACTCACAACAATAAACAAGCTTAAGGATAAAGAGTTTGAGGATTTACCGTGGATCTTCTTGGTACGGCGCGGACCGTGTGGTAGCAGGCTGCCCAGGCCCCAGAACCTGCAGCGGCGGCCACAAAGTTCTTGTCTAGTACCTGTCCCAAAATAATTAAAGTTATAATAGTAAATAAAAAAACATAAATCCTATCCACGACTCAACTATTCGAATAAATTAAGGGATTACCGCAGGGGGATTCGCTGCAAGTGGGGCCATGAACACCGACCCCCTAACACCTGCAGCAGCTCCTGTCGCGGCTGCAGCCTGGACTTGTAGGAGGTCAGCGCTAGACACCAGTTTGCGTGCCGCAGGTGGCATGAGACAAACAGCAACATGCACTGCTTTGAGCGCTCCTTCTGCACCGGCAATTTCGGCACGGGAAAGAGGAAGTAGACCAGCGACCATGGGAGGTACTTCACCTGATCCTGCCCCAACCTCCATCCCTGCCACTGCCGCCTCTTCCGCCAGGTGCACCTCTTCTAACACTGCATTTCGTGCGCCCATTGCAGCCGCCTCCGCGATGGAGACAAGAGCTGCACTCTCCTCGTCCTCGCGGCGGTCAAGAAGGAAGGGGGTATTGTCCATCGTCGCCAGAAAGCAGCACCCTAGAACAACATAAGTTTGTTAGTACAAGTCAAATGTAGTAGCTTAAAGCAGCATAAATAAATATACGCGCAAAGGAGTTTCAAGGCTATGTAAAACGAGTGAAACATCACAGCCGCAGTGTTGAATCAAGAAAAAACATGAACCTAACTGAAAGTCAATAAGAGGGTATCCCAGTATATAAACAGCTTTCATAACTTCTGAGGATAATAATCCATTAAATTCATATTTGATTAATCATGTATGTCTCATCGCGAGTGGTTCTTAACCATATGACACTGCAACAAAAGGATGTACAAACAATTCCCAGATACAATATGCTTTACATATAAAGTAACAGGGCCAGATTGCTGTAGCACAGAGACAGAGTATATTAAGACATTAAATCATGCACATGTAAACAAGTTGGAGGTTAAAGTTGATTCCTTGTAGCCATAAAATGACTAAAGTAGGTGGTAAAGATCTACAAACTCCAGGTTTAAGCATGCAAGTCAACCAGGAAATAAATATCGCTTGATATAGAAAGATCAGTACCAAACCTGATAGTAAAGTGACTCTAGTTTTCGCCTGTATAGAATCAGAAACTAATTAAACCACCAAAAAGTCCTAGTTCTCAAGAAATAAATGGAGACCAGACAATATTCTCATAAACGGACAATGCCTAACACATCTTGAACCTAGAAAAATCTTGGTAAATGAATATAGTTGCTATGTTCATTTGATGTTGGAAAAAAAGAAAATAACCAGTTCCATCTGGAGGTGTGATGATAATATCTGAAAGATTCACTTCAATTTGTCGTCTGAACCATAAATGCTAGAACATTTAGCTCTATTCATTTGTGCCAGCAGTACACTAACTACAACTCCATTCAGACAGTCAACATTTCTTCGTGACAATCTAAGTTACATCATATCATATTCTTTTAATGGAATCACATCCTTAAGTATGACTTCAATAGAATGTTCAGAGTGCATGCTACCAAGAAGCTAAGGGCAGCTCCAGCGTATAATTTCTTAACAAGGTGTTCTACTAGTTAAACAAGCTCCAATGTATAAATCTGTTAGTCAGTACTAAGGTGAGATCTGCATGTAATAAAATATATAGTATCCCAACTTTTCTTAACATGGATGGTGGATGGAGAGAAAATAAGTGGTTGTGCATATTATTATTTTTTATATATTCTTGGCAACAGGTGCAAGAAGATTCTAAGCTAACACCTACTTCCCAATGTATAGCACCTCACTTCTTCTCTCTCAGCATTGCACCTCCTTAGAACACACATTAGAGCAGCCCTAAGCATACAATCCAAAATTAGCAACAGGCACCATTTAACATATAGCAGAGAGAATACTGGAAATCATTACATCAACCAAGCAAGTAAGGGTCTCCTAAAGACAACTCCAGAGAAAAGCGAGAAACAAAGGATATAAAGGCGAAGTTGTCGAACGACCAGACAACAATCCCAGCGGCGGCGAGCTTTTTGGCTCCAGGCGAGCTCTGCTCGATTCTACCCCTTTACCCCCTCCTTCCTCCCATCTACCAATCTTCTTGTACCCAAATATTTCCATAAAGTAGTTTGATTATTGTATTCATGTTGAGTGAAGCAAGAAATCGGGTTGATAACAGATGATTGGGAGCATAAGACAAGACGGGGGAAAATAGAACCTCACCTTCTCTGAACAATCTGAATCGAGGCCACGGCGATTTGAGGACTCGTTTTAGGGTTTAGCACTGCCTTGGCCCCTTGTTCTTCGCGGAGATTAAGAAAGGGAACGAAGGAGGGCGATTCCACGACCCGTGCCCACCGCGCCAGCGCCCCGCGGTCCTGCCTCCTGCACGATGCCGCGTCGCTGCGAACCGCGAACGCCGCGCCCGCGCCAGCGAGTTGCCGCCGCGTGCCGCTGGCTGCAACCCGGCGCCCGCTGTCGCGCGCCTGCGTAGCGGAAGCCGCTCGCCGCTGTGCTTGCCCGGTTGCCCCTCCCCCCTTGCCCGGTTGCCCCCTTCGCCTGGGGCTTGGAGCGGGAGCAACCGAGCGGAACTGCGGGAGGAGACACGAGACTGCTGCGGGCTGCGGCCGGCCGTTGCGCCTTGCAAGTTTGCTCGCGGTGCTCGCGGGCAAGAAAGTTGCGCCGGTTGGGCCGCCTAATTGCGTAATGGGCCGTGCTCGCTTCTGAACCTGGAAAGGTGTTTGGGCCATGCAGCTCTCCAGCTCCAGGCGGTCGATTTCCAGCAGCAAAAAGTCTAATTTACCTCCTTAACGATCGCGGTCTACTGATTTTTCCTCCCTAATCTATAAAACCAGTTTTGATAATAGTTTTGCTAATATGGCACTATATCAAAGGAGGTAAATTGAACTAAATTGAAAGTTCAAGGAGGTAAAGCGTACTAGAAATATCTTTACAAAAATATCTAAAAATTTATTTTAAAAATAAAAAATATATATCAAAATATATTTGTATGAAAAAATATAACTAAAAATTGTAAAATTTAGTTTAATCTTAGAAAATTCATATAAAATTTGTTTTAGCTCAAAAAATCATGAAAATAGTTTTAGATTTTTTTTCTGAAATCATGCTCTATGCTATGGTGCCTACCTTGAAATATCTTGTTCATGTAACTTGGTTCTATATGTACAAGTATCATGACCCATGTGCTCCCATCTAAATTTTCATGCCACGTCACGCTTCATAATTCATTGCACTAAAACTTAACTAAATATATTAAACAAATTGTGCATGTATGCATACATGTGTGCGGTAGGGTGTATGCAGCCACGCTGGCTAACACAGATACTTCAAAGAATTATTTAGGGTAGGGAACTAGTGCCCACTACAGTCCCGACGATGATTTACTACTGTCTAGTTCGAATGATCAATATCGGCTAATTATAATAGCTTCTACTAGAAAATAAGCACCAAAATAATTCCATCGAGATTCAAACAATTTCAACCTAGGCACCATAACATAGAGCATGACTTCAAAAATTTTGGCACAAGTTTCATAATTTTCTGAGCTAAAATAAATTTTCTATGAATTTTCAAGATTAAACCAGGTTTTAGGATTTTTAATTACATTATCTTTCCATATAAAAAATATATGTTTGAATAAAATTTTAAATATTTTAAATTTTAGATATTTTCATAAAAAATATTCCTAGTCCGATTTACGTCCTTAAACTTTCAATTTAGTCTAATTTACCCCTCTCACATAGTGCCACATCAACAAAAACACTATCAAAATCACCATAGTGCAAAAGTGAACGGTTTTCAAAAGTTTAGGGAGACTAAAAAACTGGTTTTGTAAACCAGGGAGGAAAATCGGACGACACAATAGTTAAGGGAGATAAATTGGACTTCTTTCCTTTCCGGCACACCCCTGGGCCACGCCACGAAGCTAATATACCCTTAATTATCATAGTTTTGTGGCAAGGTATGTATAACCACACATGTTAACATTACTTTTGAAAGATTTATCCACAGCAGAGAACTAGTGTCTAATATGGTCCTAATGATGCTTTACCGGTGCTTCTATATAGTCCAGACGATTAACATCAACTAATTATAATAAATGAAATAAGCACCAAAATGAGTTCATGGAAATTCAAACAATTTTAAGCTATGCACCCTAAAATAGAGCATTTTTTTTTTTGAAAAAAAAACTAAAACTAGTCTCATAATTTTTCAAGGTAAAACAAATTTGCTATGAAATTTCTAGGGTTTTTAATTGCATTATTTTTTCCATGTAAAAATATTTGGATAGATTTTTCAAAAATGTTTTTATGAACTTTTGGATATTTTGAAAAATATTTCTAGTCTGATTTACCTCCTCGAACTTTCAACATAGTCTGATGTACCTCCCTCTAACGTGACGCTACATCAATAAAACCACCATCAAATCACCCAAGGTGTAAAAACAAACGATTTGAAATGTTGAGGAAGAGATTTCAAAAATGTAGTCATATAATTTAGGGAGCAAAATCGGACGACCACGATAGTTGAGAGAGGTACATTAGACTTTTTCCTTTCTTTTTTAATACACTAGTACAAGGACAAAATTTGTATGAAATGAAATAGAGCATAGTTAGATCCCATGATATAAACTTTAGCCACTAAACTTTAGACTATTTTAACTCTGGAGATCCCATATAGAAAATCTAAAGTGTTGTCTAAAATTTAGCGAATCTCACAAAAACTTTAGACCACACAGGTGGTCTAAAGTTTTAGCCTTTGGACAGTCGGTTGGTCAGAAAATATACTAACCATTTTATATCCGTAATTGTGAATATGTAATGTATTGTTTATATTTCTGGTAAAGTGGTATGCTTGCTTTTGTGGGCATGAGCGACCATGGGTACCCGTGACCTGAGTGGACTTATGCTTAGTTACAAAATTGATTTTACCATGTAGATTTTATTTTCACCTACATGGATTAATTGGGATGGCAAAAACACCTAATGGGTTCATGCCCATTGCCATCTCTAGTGGCACTGCAGGGGGTACCCTCCTTGTCCTCATCAGCAGATGTGAGCAAGGCTAATAATACAGTCGGATGTTGGCTGTATGTAACTTTGCAGTCTATCTTTTAGCCCATCCGTATAGTAGTTAGCTCTTTACTATTAATATATGGCACATTTATCTTTCTCACAAAGTTTATTGGTTCTTGTATCTAAGCCGGCTATAAGTTTCATAGCCCACATCTCCTCTCTCTCTCTCCTCTCTTCTCCACGTTAGCATTCAGTCTGCTTACAGCCTGTTTATTATGGCGCGTGTTTGATATCTTGTTCCTGCTCAGCCCAACCGGCTAGCGTGGCTGTGGCCAATTGAAGCCCGGCCCGACCGGCTAGCCTGGCTACAACTTCATATGTTTGGTGTTGTGTTCTAGTAGAGCAAGTCCACTTCAGATCGTGTTTGATTGCCTAGACAGAGAGATATGACCACGCTTGCACTTAAAACTTTGGTAACATTACCCCCAAAACTTCCCTTTCTCTTGTCATTGGCATTTTGTCGAACCCATGCTAGGCACGGTGAGGCAGAGAAGTGGAGGAGAGACGGCTGCTCGCGCCATCAGCTGTCCGTGCTGTGGCCGGCTATGGCGCCATCGGGCCGTATTCCACCGCGGCCTTGGCCGCCGCCGAGCTCGAGGCCATCTCGCGCGCGCTCGACGCCTGGTCGACGCCGCTAATGCGTGGGAGCACGGCGGCTAGTCCTCGGAGAGGGAGTTCGCGGGGAACCCCGCAGCGAGAGCGATGAGGACCTCGCTCAGAATCGAGCTCCCGGACGAGGCGGAGGGAGGAGGAGGTGGGGGGCCGTCCCCAGCGGTGGGGGACGCCGATTAGATGCGCCGCGGTATGGGAGGAGGAGGAGGAGGAGGAACCACGCAGGACGCGGACGCCGACTGTGGGGATCATTACCGTTGAACTGCTTCTTCCGGCGGCGGCGCTTCCACGCGATGGTGGACCCATCGACGGCCGCGGTGGCCGACGGCGCGAAGGGAGTCGGGGAGGACATGGGTGCGTCGTCCTCCATGGGCTTCGCGGCTGCCACGGAGTCTCCTGCCGCCTCCCCATCCTCCATGGGATCCGCTCGGAGACATCTGCACTCCACCGCGGCCATGGCCTCCGCCGTGCACCAGCCCCTCACAGAACGCGCTCCTCCACGAGCAGGGATCATTCATCGTCGACTGCGGGAGGTGAGAGGCTAGGAGGTGACCCAATCCCTCACCCGCTCGCTCCATCGGACCAGGCTGTGAAAAAACGAACTCCAACTCCGTTTTCTGGGGCCACCCTTTTGGCTGCTTTGAGGAGCGTGCGAGCCGGGCTCGGTAACTGGGCACAGCCGGGCTGCTGCGCCACCATATCAAACACACCCTGTACTTCTCAAAGATTCAGCCCGGTCAAGGAAGTAGAGGTGTTAAATCCGCCTCGGAGTCAGCCCCGTGGTTGGGCCGCAAACCTGGCTATATACGAATACGAAAGGAGAAAAAGGGTTCCGATTGGCAATTTGTGCCTCGACTCGGATCGGACAAATTAAATATGGCTATATAAATAAAACCAGAAGAATACGTATGTAACAACAGAATCATAATAACAAGGTAGCTAGGGTTCGGCAGATCGTAAATAAACTGCACAGGCGATCGAATTCTCAAAAGTTTCCGTTGTCCGCCCGCCTAAGAAAAGGTTTTCCATTATATTTCCGTGAGGATTCCGGGCGCCACTGCCGGCGACGACAATGGCAGCCATCGTCGAGAGGGGTGCCGCCGCCGTTTCTGATTCCGATTCCGATCACGAATGCCCCGGGAAGGAGCCTGAGTTCGTTATCGACATCGCGGACAGCCTGTCTCAACCACTGATCCCTCCCCGTCATCATCAGCTGATGCAGCACCCGGCGGCAGTGTTATTTCAGCCGCAGCAGCAGCAGCTCGCGCCTTTGGTGTATCGTCAGACGCAGTTGGAATACGCCGACATGCCCAAGGAGTGCACAAATTGCTTCATTTGCAAGGTACGGCACTGCCCAGTAGATCATCATCATTTAATTAAAATTCTTATTATATCACCACGCTAACATATAGACCTGTGATGTTGGTGTAGATCGTCCATTGCATTCTGGTGCTGGTGTACGTGGGCGTGACGCTGATGCTGGTGGCGTGCTTGCCAGCGGAGTACAAGGAAGGCGACGGTGGATGGATAATGGTGTGCCCCATCCTCATCGCTCTGCTCGCCGTGCACTGGCTGATGCTGGCCAAGTACGACAAAGAACAGTGCTAAAAGTGGCTCCATGGACACGTTTCCCTACCTTGTACTGTACTTATGTGAAGACGGTTAAGATCTACTACCAAAAAAAATTTAGTAGGAGATAAATGATTTTATTTTTTAGAGATGATCGTTGGATTTTATTTTTAGATACGGTCATTTTCAACTACTGTCTCTTTAAATCGTATTGGAGGTAATAACTGGGCAAAGATTGCCTCTGAAATTCAAATTTTAGAGACAGGTCCCTCTTAAGATGCATGTAATTGCCCTCCTCCCGACCAAATAACAAAATCCTATGGTATTTTTTTCACTCCGACTCCTAGTAGATCCTTGTCTCACTTCTATCGTCCACTCATCTCTCTCTCGTGTCTCCTCTCTCATACGCTGCACGTACAACAGATCCACCGTATCTAAATTCAGGATTTATCCGTCCACGGTCCACACTAATTTCACAATTTTTCAGACTCGTGATTTAGATTTATAGCCATAAATATAATTTAGCCACACAATTTTATTTTATTTAATCATTGATTTTTACTTATTTGGCGTGTATAATATTGTTTTCCTTAGCAACACATGAAATATTTTGCTGGTTATAATAAAACGAGTATACAGTGTGTGTAGCCAACAAAAGAGGGAGACAAGGGTGAGAGAAAGAAAGAGAGTTGAGCTATGATCCGGCCAAAAGTGTCTCTCCACCTCCCCCTCTTCCCTCTTTTATAGGGGAGGTGTGATAAGAGATTCTCTTTATGCCCTTTGGTAGGGTTTGCATTCACAGAAATGCCACTGGATGTGGCAGAACCGTCTAATCTAATGTTTCAAGGAGTGCTTGTCTTCCATTAGACACTAAGCACTCGAGGGAGAACACTAAATTACTCGGTTCCGTCGGACACACCCCAGGGGAGAACCCGAAAATCTATATTTTTGCCATCAGGATTACAAATGAGAGAATAAAGCTTACATCATTTAACCATTTCTTACATCACTTTTAATACAACATCAGAGTATAATATTTATTATTATAACAGCGGAATGTAATCATATTATCAGAGGATGAACAATTTAATTGAATAGCAGAATATAAACATGTGATCAGAATTACAGCGAAAATAAATATCTATTCAGGACATGATGAAGTATTGATATATAAGCTATGACAACAGATTATAAAGCTTTCATTTATAAAAATATTTGGTGAGAGTTATAAATAAAACTACGATTGCAGCGTAAAGAAAATCCTCTCTGAGCCCACCAGGAGGAATCCACATACAAAGGTCAGCTCAAGCCTCTACCTGTCACCTGTAACAGGGGGAATAAAACCCTGAGTACTCAATTGTACTCAGCAAGACTTACCCGACAGGAGGAAAGAAAAGACTCCAAGGATATGCAAGGCTATTTGGCTTGTGGGTTGCATTTGCAGGAAGCATTACTAAGCGTGCGTCCTTATATTCGATTTTTATTAATAGCCGCATTGGTTCATTAATTAACCATTCTATGTAAGCACCTGTGCTACTTTCAAGTAGGTGGTAAGCAATAAGATTTCATTTTCCATCTTCCATCTTGCATCTTTCAGTTCTTACTACGGTGCTAGGCCATAGACAAGCCGTATCGGATTTCCTGGCGATTCGCGAATCAATGCCCCCAGCTGGGTACCCCGAAAACACACGCCCCACTTGTACCCCAGGCACAAGCAGGACAAACTCATCACTCTCTTGTCCCGGGTGTCCAGGTCCCTGTCCAAACTAGGACTCCAAGCCCCCGCCCCCTGAGTTTCGGACTCAGTGCGGTGCAAGGACCTCCACCAAAATAAAACCCTAACAGTCGGTCCGAAAAGAGCCGAATCCGCGACAAGAGAGCAACAAGTCTTCCAAGCGCTCATACTCAAGTATGTGCTCGGGATAATAAATCTGTGACTTGCCCAGAGCCTTATGCAACGACCTATAACACCCCAGGTGTTTGTCACCAGTTAAGCAATGGGTTAGAGCTCAACCATGACATGTAAGTGGTGATGGAGATGTTAGGTCAAACATATGAAAATGAGCCACCACTTAAACTTGGACCATGCACCATTTCTTACATGTTGTCCTTTCCAAAAAAGTATGCTTGAGTAATGTTGGATGTACTTCTTTCATGTGTCTCACATCAATATCCATCTATATTGATCCATGGAAAAGTCTCATGAAGTTTGGAATCAAGAAGTCACATGAAATGATAAGTTAAAACCTTTCTTGGATTGCTTTATTAAGTGGATGGAATTATAGGTCATCAACCAAACCTTGCTACCTTTCCCAAATAACTCTAATTGAACTCTACAACAAAAGTCATGAAGGGTTCGTGTTGAGCAGAGGTCAAGAAAATGCATCAATCGGTCTAAAACTCATATTTAAGCTTTACCGCGATGCTACTTTGACCTATGTTGACCAATCACTTACAGTACTTGCATGGAGTTGTACCTTAAATAAAAGTTGAAGATTGAGTAGAGTAGAACAAAATTTGTTTTTGGACCAAGAGCCAGATTAGCTTGGAAATAAGTCAAACAGAGGCTCGAAGATTGAATCAGCGATTGTTTTCAGACTTAGAAATATTCTAAGTCAGGAATTCATCGTCATTGGCGTTGGCATGTCGCGTTCTCATGTTTTCGTTAAGCAACTTGACTTGACCCCAAAATAGAAGTTGGGGCTAATTCATTGGAGAAGAGCATACAAAAAGTTGGATTGGGTTTGACCGAGTTTTGACCTCTGAAAGCGAGTTTCCGTGACCGTTATCAACGTGTTGGCGCTATCATATTGGAGATTAATTACCCACTGATCTGTTGCTCCAATGACCTGAGTACCTTAATGGAAAATGTAGAGCATGCCGAGGTGAACAAACTTTATTTTTGGCCCAATATCTGATTCGGCCCGTAAGCGGCCCAAATCGGCTCCCCACCATGTCCACTCCGGCGCCCGCCACCTGTTCGACCGAGTGCCAACGTGGTTGCCGTGCATGGACACCGCATGCCCCCACCGCTGCCATGTGACCTGCCTCTCTGTCGCGCCCCTGCGCGTTCAACAGAGTGCCCGAGCTGCCCCATCACTCACTGGCATCTCCACTCTCCCTCCCTCGCTCTCTGGTGCTGCGCGCGCGCTTCAGGAAGCGGCCGCCATGGATGCCGCCGCGAGCTCGAGCTTGGCCGTCGTCGTTCTTCCACCTTTGAGCGCCTAGAAGCCATGCATCCACCGCCACCGGCTCGGCCAACCTCTCCTCGTTCTCGTGCACTCCTTCGTCGAGCCAACCCAGGCCAGGAGGCCGGAGGACCGCAGCCGCCGCCGCTGCATGCCGCCGGCGTGCGTGGCTAGGGCACCATGGCCCATCTCCCGGACGCTAGAACTCTTAAACAGCTGTAACTCTTAAACTACTTGGCCAATCAATTTCTCTGTCTTAAACTACTTGGCCAATCAATTCTGTAACTCTTAAACTACTTTAAGACAGAGTTACAGCTGTTTAAAGTTGGGTTACAGAATTGATTGCTCTCTGTCTTGTTTAGACTAGTTTCTGTAAATGGGTATATTTGACTTAGTTAACTTGAGAATCATGCTAAGATGATTAAAGATGAATTGTATAAAATTTCATAAGCTTTCCAGAATGTCTTGTTGCATGTCTATTGGATTTGTATAACTCTAGTTATGATCCAAACATGAAGCTATTGTTTCCAGTCCAGAAATAGACATATGCTAGTTGTGGTTGTTTACTCCATGTGTTGCTAAGTGTGGCTTATGCCCTTATTGATGGTCAAGTTATGATACTTATGACCTTGTTAAACTTGTGTCATGATTGATGTGCTTG